GACAATGTTCTGTCCACTTTCTCTCAAGAACACAATGGGGAGGCACCCAAAAACTGAATTAAATGTCCATACTTTCTCTTCCGTTCTATATCATTCTAAGTTCTATTATCAATTTTAGTATGTTACCCATTGGAATGCCTCTTATGCAAAAGGTCACATGTCACAGGAGCTCTATGAACATACAAATCCCAAAATCTTTTGTAACATTGACAGAAATGTATAATTCTGCTTTACGTTAGTTGAGTGCAGTTTTCAGCAATGCAGATGTGACAACTGTTCCCTGATTGGCCAATAATGAAAGTGTTGCCACACAAACTTGCTGCTTTGTCCCAGCTACTGATGCTGTTCTCATACCTCATGAATATTCCTCCTTTCTTTGATATCAGCCAAATCATTTTCCAGTCGCTGGATCTCTTGCTTCAAGCGACCACACTCTCGCTCAGCCACAAGCATCATGTGTTTCTCTGTTTCCAACTCGTTGTTTCGAGCACGGTTTAGCGCCTAACAAAAGTAATGAAATTCCATGTTTCGAAATTAATTCATAAGTTGTAACACATAGAGAAGCAGACATGTTTGAGAGGTAAATGCACTTGTAAAATATTTACTTGACAAATGTTAGGAACAATTCTTGAGGACCAATGGCATGAATGATATTAATCAAAGGAGAAGCTCTACACTGCCAAGCCCACGATGTGGTACATGTACGTTATAATGATTTGGGCAGGATGCATTGAGAGTATTTCAGCTGAGTGAATAGATTGGTTACCTGTGTCTGATTGAGTTCCTGCTGCACATTCTTCATGTGTTCTGACATAGCAAACACCCGGTCCTCATGCTCTGACAACTCTGCCTGACATCTCACTGCCTCTTGTTGGTTGCGCTGGACCTGTTCATAGTGAGAGTCGAAGATTCAGTGGCTGTAGGTACACAAATCCTTAAATATGATGAAACTGACAAGAACACCTTTAAATTTATTAAAGCATTAGCTCATATGTAATAGAAGTACAAAATTCCACATATCGTTGGGTGCCAACAAGGTTGTAAGGAGGAAAAATGGGTCAAACGGTCAAATTTTGGTTTGGGGGGAAAAATTGATGGAGCATTAAATATCTTTCATTTGGTATACATGTTGAATCAAAAGGCAATGTCATTCTGACGTAATTAACAGAATGAAAAGGATGGTAGGTGGTTTTCCTTTACTTTTGCACTGACGAAGGACATTACCACATAATAATAATTTAACAAAATATGCAATAGCATCCCACTGAAGTGTAGATGCAGTCAAAGTGTATTCCCGTTAAAAGGCTGTTACCTGTAGCATAAAATGTAAATTACTATTAAAAATCAAGTTTTTTTAACCATTATGTAATGCAAAATATTATTTTAATCGCTAAAAACTTAATCCAGCTAAAATTCAGACTTGTGTGATTTTTATTTACGAATGGGAGCCCCAAAACTTTAAAATTGATAATCTCAAAACATAATATTTGCATGCCTGGGCTACTAACATCCTTCTCCTTGGAACACTACACAATTAGGTCACATTAAGAGGAGGCAATAGGTAAATTTCTTGAAGGTTTTGTTACAGTAGCAGTTCTTACAAAAGCAAAAACATCAAGATGTATCGGCTAGGCTGGAGCGCAGTGAAGTCATCTCCAGGACATTGACATAAAGTTTAAATCGCTTTTTCAACAAGATGACCACTTTGAGCTCAACAACAAAAGCGTTTCCGATTTGAAGGGGATTTCTCTCTTTTCTTCCCAAATGTGAGTAAACCTTACCATCTTATTGGAATCTCCAATTCTCACTCAATCCTAAGCTTGTAATTGGACAGTTTGAGGACCACTTTGGAAGTGAATCCAAAGGATTTTGATTCTGGGTACGAGCTATTTTAAGTGAAATGACTTAAAGGGGTGGAAAGCTTATGGAAGGTACTTGGACCGTACTATTGCCGGACCATGTCCAAATGTCAAAAAAGGCCACTTGTAGAGTCCAAGTTACTTGGACTAGTGTACCCCATTCTTGCAGTCAAGATGAGATCACTGAGTCTTGATTCTTCCCTCTGATTGGTTAATTGGTGGCTATCCCATATTTCACACTAGAAACTCAGAGGGGCAAAAACAGTGCTGCGGTCTATACGGAAAATCTCAATTAGGCTGATTGACTCTTATTGTCTTAACCTTTAGGCCTATGCCTACATCAATTTATGCCCAAAATTTCACTATTTTAGGCAATATGAGTATGAACAGTTTCCCACACTGTACCGAAAAGGTTTCAGTTCTTTATCATGTTGCATCAAAAAAGGAGGAAAACATGCAAGTACTTTTTTCAAGATGTATTTTTGCGTTGGGGAGATGTTAATTTATATAACGGGTTTTGCCTTTACCCAACGTACATATTATTAATAAACACTGTATGCTCAGTGCTTGTCCAAGAGCTTGCGATGCAAGTACTTGTACAAAGTGAAGGGAAGTTGCCCCTTTGCCCAGACGTGAGTGCAATAAATGGAACAGCCTCCAACCATAAGAGTAATTTCCCTCAAAAATCAAAACCCTGCCCTCTTTCTACAAAACCATGAAAATTAACCTTGCAGTCAGGCGAAATGATGTCATGCCATTTCCAGAAAGCTAGTCTTAACACTACATTACCTCATCTTCCAGCAATTTATTCTCTTGATTGGCTACAGGAACCTTCATCCCACCGTCCCACTCCATCTCGCTTAGAACACTTTTAACACTCATTTCGGCTCAGTCGCAAGTCGCCTGTTCTGTTTGTCAATGCGGCGTCAATATAGGCCTAGGCCTAAAACAGCTTGTCGGCAACAGTTTGCTCTATCCTAATTGCAAAAACAAATTGGGTAGGTCTAAATAACTACTAAATATCCTTCCCTGGAAAAACCACAAATCCTATTTTGTGAGACTTTTCGATACAAGTTTAGTAAAGTGTCAAAAATAAACAAAAAATTCTTGCTGTCAAATAGTAATGTTTGTAATCACAGACAAAAACGTACAAACTGCTAGCGTTGTTTGCTGTGGTTACGGTATTCGCACTCGTTGACCTTTCACTGGTCCCTCACACATAAAAGTGCGCTTGGTATGTTTAAGCGAACACGCCGCGTACCATTGATAATTTTAATACGCAGTTATAATATACCAAATGAGGGCGCTGTATAGAAAATTAAAGATGGCATTATTTTCACGGTTACCACAGACCGTGTCTTCACAAAATTGGACATACACATTAATAGAGTCGCCTGGTGCCTCTCGGAAAGAGGTCGGGCCGCACTTTTTTTCTGTGGAAATTCAGGATTATGACAAAAACGTCGGTTTTCTTTTCAACTTTACAAGGGTCAACCATGCGATTGTCTTTTTTATCCGCCCCGCTCCAAAAACACCCCCAAATAGTAGTCGAACTATTCGATCAGCCCTGTGAATAATGCCATTCCCTGCTTTGAAAGAAATGATTCAAAAAACGATACCCAAATCTGGTTTCAAGCTGCACTCAAGGGACAAACGCTCCTCATTAGAAGTTTTAGACCTTGAATCTAACATCTACAAAATCAACGCTTCGACGGGCTCTCCATTCATCACCCTTTGAGGCGACTTTTGAGGATGGACTGGTCTGATAAACGGAACCCCAGGAGCTCTTCAGGAAGGATAGTCCAACCTCATTTTGACAAATCACCTGACCCCCAAAGTCACGTTTACTACCAGGCGTGGTGTCACGACAGGCTCTGAAAACACCTTGGGCCTACGACTGACCTCACATCCAGACTTAATCTCTGATGTTTCGCCTCATTCTGGAATTAGTGATCAGTGCATTGTGCAACAACACTTCATAAAAGACTACCCCCCCCCAGCCACCTCGTAAAATTTGGGGAAGGTGGGCGATGAAGAATTTATAGACCAGGCAAAACATGGTTGTAAACTAAGTTTCTTCAACTAGCATCCAGATACAAGATCTGTTGAGGACAACTGGGTGTGTTTGATAGGCCTAAATGGCTTAAATTACAAATCCTGTTACCCACAAGTTTGCTCAAGGGTCGAATGCACCCCCCCCCCAGTTTGGCTCTCTACAAGACTGAAGCGGCTCTGCAACAAGAAAAAGAAATTCTACATCAATGCCAAGAAGAGTGGCTTTAAAATAAGATTGGAACAAATTCACCAGAGTGCGGAAACAAGTCGTCCGTACCACAGACAACATGTCTCTTCAATTCTGGAAGGAGAAAATCCAAGGTTTATGAGATCCAGACGGACACATGTCAAACACTTAAAATGAATGACCATTAATCACTTAAGACCAGGAAAAAGCAGAATGTTTTCACCTCGGAAAATATGGATCCTTCATCGTTTCCGGACGTACCACCCAGTCTGTTTGCAGAAATGCCTCCAATTAAAATCGATGTAGAATGTGTCAAGAAGCTATTGCTCAACATTAACACACCAGAGACCATAAGGCCTGACAAATTTCAGAATCAGGCTCTCAATATCGCAGCTGGAGAGCTAGCTGGTTCCTGTCTTAAACGTCGCTGGACTCAGGTGATCCTCCTCAAGAGAGGTTTGACTACAGTAGTACCAACGCCGCAAATTATTGTCCCGTTTAATTAACTTTCATTTGTTGCGAGATGTTGGAACACATAATTGACAGCAACTCGATGAGACACCTTTCTGGACATCATATTTTTCTGACAATAAGAATGCGACTTCATTCGAATAAAGCGAGGGAATTATGCCATGGCATGGTCCTTCGTGATGTTCCATCAACTCCCCATCACGTCTCCGTGTCAACGCCGACTTGTCTTAACGGATGACTTGGTAACCGGTCGAGTTGTAATAATTCGTAGGATCGTTGGCCTAAGCCACCAATCCATTATCCACATACTCAATGAAACGTTATTTGAATGGAATTCGAAATAGACGTGTAAATGCCAAGTCAGAAAATAAGGAAAGGCGATCGATGCGCGACTATGACCAGTATGTCAAAAGTTGTATTTCATTCACTTTTTATAGTTTGAAACTAAGGCCACTTCCAAATTCAGAAACTGCCCTACTTTGGAATAGGACATACATGGGAAGTAAATTTAAGGAAGCTCAGTCATAGAAAAGTTGCACACCTTTTACTCACATATACTATAGGCCTACGTTTTCCGATTCCGATGAACATTTGAGCAAGAACTACCTCTAGACCCACGATCCGCTGCCAAGAACGTTTTAAAACGAATTAGCTTGGGCAGTTTCTGTTTTCCATGCCCAATCCTTTGTCAGTTTGTTGAGTGACATCTTGTGAAATCGCATTAGATTTTGTACCTTTTGGACGTACAATAATATCATTCTCCCATTTATCTCATTAAGCCATAAATTGACCCAATCATATTGAGTTTTTCATTGATCACTTACGGGAAAATGCTGACTTACGATCAAAGGAGCAAACTGACTCAAGAACATAAACACATCTTTTTAGTTGGAACATTTATTGGTTTGAAGATGCAGAATTGCAGGTTGCAGACGAAAGACCATTTTCGTCGACATCGCCTTGCTTTTGCTTAGAATTCCTTTCGTTCCTTCTACGAAAGCCCTGAAGTGTCATTATTTATTTTCAAAAAGTGAAGCAAGTTTGTATATCTTTGGTAAAAATGAAGTTGGAAAAATACATATCACCTTTTATACTTCATGGCAATGGTGGGCTTTTGTACCCCCTGTTCTCGCGAAATGCCAAATAGTAGGCGCATTTTTCTTCACTGGGCTTAGGAAAAAGTGCTCACTCGAGGAAGGTCGGTTGTAACGGAATGCTTTGCCTTTAATTTTGCAGACACGCAAGGCATGGATGTCTGAAACAACATTTCACTAATTTGGTTAAGGGTGGATCTGAGGATTTTCCCAGGACGTCTGGCCCGTCAGACATTTTTAAAGTCCAAAAGTTGCAGACAGCCGGACAGTCAAGTCATGCATTACATGCACTTCTCTTTGTTTGTCTAACAATAATACAAATCCGAGGCATTGTCGAGGATAACACAAAAAAGTAAACAAAAAAAAATTTCCATTGTGGTCCTAGGGCAGGATATCACGTTTGTGTTATTACTGTAATTGTTATTTCATTTTTTTTTAGTCAGAGCCTTGGGGGGGAGAGGGTTGACCCCCACCCCCCTCGGGATATGCAAATTCAAAGATCTGTTGACAGCATGGCCAAGAACAGAAGTACAGAGCATTGACATTCTAGGGCAATCTTTCGTACTCTTTTTTTATCACGAACTTGGATAGAAAATCATCACCAAAAAGGAGCCGTTCTTTTTTCGGATGATTCGTTCCCTAGCTGTATCCTCCGGTGAAATTAAAAGATGAGCGAGCCATATTACATGTACTGTAATTAAAAGGTCATTCATCCATTCTTTTTGTTCAAAGTCTGGTTTCTGATTTTGAAAGAACAAACATATCATCTACCGAAGCCTGGAAGGGAAGCTGCCATTAATTTTGAGTTTGTTAGTTTTGTTTTGTGTTTCTATATCTTGAAGTTGATTTAGAAAGCTGTCAAAACGTAGTTCATTTGCCTTAAGTGCCAGAGTGACCACAAAAAAAAACCGGTTATTCAGTCCCAACATACTCTCCGAGGATTTATTTGTGTGAAGGTTCTATCCGCCCCGAGCAGAAGCACCCCCTTATTGGTTGAAAAGAGCCATGTTGATCTGGAGTGTTCATTTTGTTGGTAGCAATGCGACCGCAACGCATGCATTTCATAGTCGTTTGTAAACCAGCGAAAAGCAGTTCCTACTAAAAGGAGCCTGCGCTGCCAGGAAAATGGCGCCTCTTTACCGTACTGACTGTTCGGATTTATTAACCTTATGCCATAATCAGAGAGAACTAAGCCCTGGCAACACAAAACATGTGTGTTCGAACTATTGAACCTTCGGAATAGTGAGCAGTGACCAGTGGATCTTGATATCGAATTTCAAATTTCAAATAGTCGTTCCTAAAGATGTTTCTGCTCACGAGTCCTGTTTAGCCTGTTATATTTCTAACATCACTTAAATGCAAAATTATGGTTGTAGTTGGTCTCAAATCCTGTTTTGTTTTGACTCAAAGCGCGTGTGGGGAGTAAAATTCCAATCACGGACGTCTCATTCACTGAAAAAAAAAACGTCTGCGGGACTGACAATGACTTTGTAGAAAATCTGAAGCCATCGTGCCGAATATAAAAAGATGGTTGGCTACGTGTCACTGCAATGGGGGCGTTCGAGTGAGCTACTCAGTTAACACGAGTACACTCCTGAGCGCTCGAACTACTGGAGTACGACCCGCGGGTCAACGAGAGTAGAGGGGGAGTATATAATATACTCCTTGCATTGCGTGTGCCTTCGCGTCGTGTTGTTAATTGATGCCGCGACGCCACGACATCTGTCGCGTCGTGTCGTCACGTCGTGGCGGGACGACGCGACGGAGCTGTCGTAGCGTCGCGTCGTGGTGTCGGGGCGACGGGACGACGCGACGCAATTTTGGCGGCTACAGAACACCAAGCAAGATGAGGTAAAAGCAAGGGCGGATCCCGATTTGTCCCCAAGGTGGGTGGGCGTGATCCCATTTTTTTTAAGCAGCATGGGTCCGGGCATTTTAGATTCTAGGCGCTCTGTGGTGCAATTTCAGGCGGTATGACCAATCCTTTTCGTCTCCCCCTCTTTTTCTGGATCTGATCTTAGTAAGGAGTAAAAAAACTGTCTACAATGATTGGAAGTCTGTACTTTTCAAACTCATATTCCCCTTTTCGTATGTTGTACTTCGGGAATAAAATTATCACTTTCATATGTCCAACACTTTCACATCCCAAACGTGCGGTGTTTATCGGGAAGGGGTGTAACTACAAAGTGGTATTCAACGGAGTGGACTCAGTGTAGTATGATCGTCACCATTACTTTTCCCAAACTTTTATAGATTGACTTGTTAAATAAAAGTCAGATGATGAAATAGCAAAGAAAGACTGGTTTAGGCAAGCACCATTTAAAGAAAATCGGTATATTTCTATAAAAAATAATTATTTTTGTTACGAAGTCATAAGACCATATCAGTCTAAGATACCTCAGAATC